GGGGTGCGCCTGGGTACTACTACTACTACTACTACTACTGCTACTGCTACTGCTACTGCTACTGCTACTGCTACTGCTACTGCTACTGCTACTGCTACTGCTACTGCTACTGCTACTACCACCACCACCTATACATGAACAAATTATCTATGTAATCATGGCACGATCTAAACCCGTGACCCTCCAAGTACCTTATTCCCATGGCTTGGCATAGAAGACCGAGGGCAGGAGTAGGGCCAGCACAGTCAGCACAAAGGTAACCCGTACAAAGCCATGAGGATTGTACATAGGTCTCTAAGGCTCTAAGGCCTAAGCCCACCCAAAGGCAGCTACCCTAAACCCTAAACCCCTATAATTCTATCTACTTAAGGGAACCTGCAAGTACCCCTCGGCATTCCTTCTCCTTCTCATGCCTCTAGGTAACAGCATTCTTGGCAGCACCGTCACCTCCACTAGTCCTACTGGGGTTATATTAGGGTTATATTGGGGTTATATGGGGATAATGGAAAACAAAATGGAAACTACTATAATGGGTTAAAATATGGACTGCGACTGCTATTGGTCTTACTGCTACTTGTACTCTTTTACTATTACTACTCATACTGTTGCTACCACCAGCGCCACCACGACGATGGCGACTACTGCTGCTATGAGTCCGAGTATAGATACTTGATACTGCTCTCTCCCATCATTCTTGTACCTAACTTGCTAATCTTAACCCTAAACCCTATCAACCCTAAATAGTAGCTTCCATTATGTTTTCCATCTTTCTTATATGGGTGGTTGTCAAAATTATGGTCCCTGTTGGGATCCCTATTATAATACGGCACCTAATATTTAGGGTACCCCAACAAGGGACCGTAATTTTCACAACCACCCATATAGCCCTTATATAATTCCTCTTTCCTTGGCTTCTATGGCAGTCAAGAAGGAGCCTGGACCTCGGCCGGGCGTCTGGTCCCTGCCCTTGCGTCGAGCTCCAGGCGTTCCCTGTTCACACGGGGTTTGGGGTTTAGGGTAGCAAGGGTAGCAAGGGTGCTTCTTCAGGGTTTAGGCTTTGGGAACCTAGGACCAGAGATTCTACGACGGGAACGTAACATATGTTCCAGGATGTACCTTTAACTTCCCAAAGAGCTTACGCCTCTTTAATAGCAGGGACCAGGGAGTGGACCCAATTAAAGGTCAATTCCTTGACAGAATGGTGGGCTAAGGGTTTAGGGTGCCCACATGTTATTTCCTCGTTCCCTTGCAATCCCTCACAAGTACTGGTTCAGAGGTACGAGGCCAATGCTGCAGAGGTTGGTTTAGGAGGAGATTGGGGTCTCACCAGTTGCTGATATTGTTGTTGTCGATATGGTGATCGTTGCTGCAATTCCTGTTGATAGGACCATCTTGGTAGTAGGTTAATGAACACAAGTCACCTACATGCCAGTATTACCATGATTGCGGGCAAGCGGGTACTCGTCCCAAGTAAACAAAAAGCCTGGGTCGCTGGAGTTACACATGTGGATGATTGTTACTGGCATCAGCATCATGACGCTCCCTATAGTAGCAAATCTTTCTTTGCTGTTTCATGCTGTGGCTATCTGCATCTGGGACTTTCTGGAAATGGGGTCCACCACACACATATCATATATATATATAGATATAAATACCTATCTATCTATCTATCTATCTACCCCAAACCCCAAATCCTTGACGCTCTGCTCTAGATTATATAATCCTTCTTAGCAAAGCCCCGAAACCCTAACAGCTAAATTCTGAACCTCACACCCCCATAAACCCTACCCCATGAACCGGTCAATGCACCCTACAGTAATAGCCCCTAAACACGGAGATACACGGAGTTTATAGGGCCTTCAGATACAAACAATCGTCCCTGTGTGGTGCCAGGTGGTGGGTGGGGGATTGACCCAACCTAGACCCCAAGCCATGGAACCCAGGCCCAGTGTCTCAATCCATGGGTTCTGGGTCAAAACTATGGGCTCTACATGGCCCTACATGGGGTCTTTATCTATCTTGTATATAACGTCTGTATCAAATTGCAAGGGCCCCCAACGAAAGTCCCTAAAAAGATAGGGACCACTAGAAGCCGATATTCGGACCTCATAAAAACCTTATTATGGCATGAACCCTAGAAACCTTTCGAAAACACACCATATGCCACCCTAAACCCTCTAAACCTTAAGCCCTAAATCCACAAAACCTTTTAAACCCCAAAACCCCTAGACCCTAAACCCCCAAACCCCAAATCCCCCCTAAGCCCTACACCCATAATGATAGCCATAAAGGCCATTATTTTACATACTTTTGGGTTTCTTATAGTAGTGCCCATATAACCCATTATAGTAGTTTCCATTTTCTTTTCCATTCTTTTACATACTTTTGGGGCCCAGGTACATCACCAGCAGGCTAAACC